TACATACAAAGTAAGTAGGAGAATATTAATTTAAATTAAAAAAATTATTTTAACGTATATAATTTGTTAATGTATATAATTTATTTGTTAGAATGATATAAATATAATATTTTATTTTAAGTTTTTCTTTTTTTTAACAAGTTCAAGGCACGTAAATATAATAAGTTAATAATAATTTTGGTATCAACTTTGTTCACAGATGCTGCTTCTCATTATAATTTGATTGACTCTGCTTTCTTTCGTTTATATAATAGGTATATAGCTGTTATGCAAAATAAAAGAAACTTATATCACTAATTTATTTATATGTTTAAAATTCATAATTTAATAATTTTTTAGAAATGGCTCTTATATTGATACAAATGTTAGAAACGCTAGTGTATTGCTACCTTACATAGAAAAAAATAATAGTTTATTAGTACTTTATATTACTGGCTATACATATGACATCGATTCTGAGAATGTTAAACTCATAACGGGTGGTAAGTTAATAAAAATTCAATTCACAGTTTAGAAATTCTTTTAACTTTATATTTTTATCATTTATGTAATAGCTAAATAAATAGATTTGTTAAGAAAAATATTTTATTTTGATAAATTGATACAGTGAGTTTCTTTCTTTAATTTATGTAAGAATAAATTTTCTTAGATTTAAAAAATAATAATAATTTTCTAATTAATCGAAATAGATAATATTACAGAATATAATAAAATAACAATTTAATTTGTAATGGTAAGTGATGACTTTAAATATAAATTTTGTCACAAAAATTGTAATAAAATCAAAAAGAGTTTAAGAATTGTTAATACAATGATAAGAAATTTATTAAACAATTAACTTAAAAGACAATAAACATATATTGCATTATATATTATCTGAAAATAATCAATATTTGAATAATTACAGTGTATTTAAATTACACGCAGCATAATATCCTAGCTCTTGATTATCGAAGTATCACACAAGCAAATTATTTAACAGCTGTATATGCGATTAACGATCTCGGCAAACTTGTTGCTGATGCTTTAAATTCATTGGTAAATGGTGGCGTAGATTCGGAAATGATACATATAATTGGACACTCGCTAGGTGCACAACTTGCAGCAAGAATTGCTCGCAATGTGAACTTTGTAATACCTAGAATAACAGGTATTCTTTATAATGAATCTTTATATTTTTAATGTCCATTAAGTTTAATGGCTATCTA